ATTCATCGTACCGTGCTCGAGGGCGACTCGGAGTCGGCGGAGGAGGAGGAGCTGGGCGGAGAGCGGCGCGGCCTCAAGCGCGGCCTGGCCGAGGCGGCGGCGGCGGCTGCGGCGGCGGCGGTGGCGGTGCCCGCGGCGGGTGGAGCGGCGGCGGCCACGGCGGCGTTCGGGAGCGGCGGAGCGGGCGGCGGGGCGGTGAGCGGCGCCAAGCCCGGCAAGAAGACGCGGGGCCGGGTGAAGATCAAGATGGAGTTCATCGACAACAAGCTGCGGCGCTACACCACCTTCAGCAAGAGGAAGACCGGCATCATGAAGAAGGTGCGGCCCCGGGGCACCGGGAGCGGCCCGGAAGCGCGGGGCGGGGGGCGGATGCGGGAAAGCGCGGGGCCGGGGGGGGGATCGGAGCGGGGCGCGGGGAGGAGGGGGCGCCCGCCCGCCGCAGCATCCCCCGCGGAGGGGTCCCCGCGCGGCCGTGACGCCCCGTGCCGCCCCGCAGGCCTACGAGCTGTCGACGCTGACGGGCACCCAGGTGCTGCTGCTGGTGGCCAGCGAGACGGGCCATGTGTACACCTTCGCCACCCGCAAGCTGCAGCCCATGATCACCAGCGAGACGGGCAAGGCGCTCATCCAGACGTGCCTCAACTCCCCCGACTCGCCGCCGCGGTCCGACCCCACCACCGACCAGCGCATGAGCGCCACGGGCTTCGAGGAGACCGACCTCACCTACCAGGTGTCCGAGTCGGACAGCAGCGGGGAGACCAAGGTGAGGCCCCGCTGGGGGCTGGGCTCCCTCCTGCGCCGCTCGGCCCCCGGCTGCCTCTGGGCGCCGTTATCTCTCCCCGGGCGTCTCCATGCGCTCACACTCATTGATAAAAATTTGATTCTGCCTCCATGGCCTTATAAGGCCTGGTTTCCCTCGCCAGAGTCCCTGGCAGGGCCCCTCACATTCCTTATAAGCTGCAGCTGTCTCTTGCTTTGGTGCTGTTTTGGAAGGGGGCAGGGAGGACATGGGGAATGGAAACACTTGGCCGGACCGAGTGTTCCTGCTCTCTGCTTGGCGGCCTGCTGCTGGGAAGCCCCAGGGCAGGGCAGCTCCTCGAGGGGCTCCAGTGGTTGGGCACACAGATGCTCAGAGATGAGCAGAGACCAAGGGCTGTGCTGCAGCTCCCTGGGTCCAGTTGGGTGCTGTGAGCTCTGCTGTACCCGTTCCAGCGGGATGAACAGCAGCATTCTGCTCTTCCACCTAGCTTTGCCCTGTGTATGTATGCCAGCCTTGCCCTGTGGAGGCTACTCAGTATGCAACAGAACCCAATGAGGGTGCTTGAGAACCCTTTGCTGTTGGTGTAACCCCAAAGACTGAGCACAAACCCAGCTTGGTGCTTTGGGGATCCTTGTGCGTGTTTGCATCCCACATCATCTCTGGTTGTGGTGCTGCTGGTACTTGGGGAAGGGATTTCTGCTCTCCCTCTATGTATGCTGCTCAGCCCCATAAATACCATTGAGGGGGAAATATTTGCTAAGGATCCCAGAGGAATTGTTGATGGGATAAGGTGCTGTGGGATGGGTGCCCCCGAACCAGGGCTGAGCCCTGGAAGGCTTCCCACTGATGGGAACCCAGCTGCCCCAGGCTGGCTTGACTCCCTTGGGTGCCTGATGGGAGCTCTGCCAGCCCTTCCCAGCAGGCGTGGGGCAGGAAGGGCTGCGCGTGCCACTGACTTGTCCCTGGTGCAGGGCTTGTTCACACAGCGTCCTTTAAGGTTTCCGCTGGAAATGCTGCCAGGTGGCCCCAAAGGAAACGTGCTCTTGTGGTGTGGTCACTTTGCAGAGATCTGAACCTGCTTCTCTCTGGTGCCAGCCCAGCTTGGTGCCCTTTGGCTTAGGCTCCAGGCACAGCCCTGCTGATGCTCTGAGAGCTGCTCCCTGTACGGACAGGACCTGCAGGTGTTTGGCTGCAGCAGCTACGAGGTCCTCCTGCCGTGCTGAGCTCCAGAGCCTGCCCTGGAGCGCAGCTGGGATGGCAGCAGGGTCAGAGGGATGCTGTGCTCTTAGGACAGCTCCAGCCTCCCAGCAGAGCTGTTGTGTGCTGATCTGGGCCATCCACCAGAGGACCCAGTGCCCTGTTTGGAGGGAGATCAGAGTTGGAGTAGGAGCTTGGGGTGGAGGAAAGATGGGGCTTTTTGCCTCACCTGGAGTGCAGAGCAGGTAGTGGAGTGCAGAGTGGGATCCCTTCTGTGTAGCACCTGGGCCAGAATGTACAGGATTATCCTAAATCTGTGGTTCATTGGGTACGCTTGCTGAGACTGGCTCATCGCTTGGCTCCTGCATGCAGGCTGGGCTCAGTGGGGTGCTGGGGTGGGTCAGGGTGCCCAGGGGCTCAGGAGCATCCCAGACAGGTGGGAGGAGCGGGCGTCCAACCCAGTTCTCCGTGCTGTCACTGCAACCTAGGAGTGGAAAGTTGGAGATGGCAGGCTGGGGAGGACAGAGTTGGGTGTGTGTGGTTGGAGCCCCTTTGTTTTTCTGTTTGTACTATGGTTTGCCCTTGTGTTTTAAGGGAGTCCTGGGGTGCTCTGTGTGCATCTCTCAGGCTGCCTTTCCCATGCCCCAGAGGATGTAGTGTGGAGATGTTACAGGCCCTTGGGCGTGCAGAGCTGTGTGTGAGGATGAGGGAGCTGGGCTGTTCCAGCTGGAAGTGAGCCCACTCTGCTGTGGCTCACACAGCCAAGTGGGCTTCATGGCCCAGGTGGGAGTGTGCCTGTGGCTCCCACGTTGCAGGGGGCTGTGGCTGAGCTAATGGAAAGTGCCTGCGCTGGGCGCCGCGCCGTGATCACGTGCCTCTTCTAATTTGGACGTGGGGGGACCGCAGTGCCAAGGCAGAGGGGCTCTGCTCTCCTCCCTCGACAGGCCCTGGGGCAGGGCCGAGTGCCCAGGATTGGCTCCCCCTTGTCTAAAATGGGCTGCCTTCCCTTTTTTAGCTGTTCGCAGAGCTGTGAATTCCTGGCTGCTGGCAGCCTGACAAGCCGGGAACAAGGCGCAGCACGTGGGAGCGCTGGGCCCGCCGTGCTGCGGGAGGGCTGCGAGCGTGCCCGTCTTAACCCTTCCTTGGCAGCACGGGGGTACAGCCCGCAGAGCCTGAGCTGTCACCCCTTCTCATTCCCCAGGATGTGCTGAAACCGACCTTCACTGTCACCAACCTGCCAGGGACAACGTCCACCATCCAGACGGCACCTACCACCTCGTCCTCCATGCAGGTCAGCAGCGGCCCCTCGTTCCCCATCACGAATTACCTGGCGCCAGTGTCTGCCAGCATCAGCCCCAGTGCCGTCACCAGTGCCAACGGGACAGTGCTGAAGACTACTGGAGCCAGTGCAGTGACATCCGGGGGCCTCATGCAGATACCCACCGGCTTCACCCTCATGTCAGGTCAGTGCTGCTCGGTGCTGAGCGCCGTGTCCATCTGTCTGTCGCTGCACTCGAAACATGTTGAGAATGGGGGACCTGGCTGCAGGTGGAGGCAGGCAGTGGTTGCTGCTTTAGGATGATCATGGCTGGGACGCTTTGCTCGAGCGGTGACAGTTCCTTTAGGGCCCTGCTGCTGGGAAGGGTGTGGTAGCAGGGAGCTGAGCAGGGGTACCCCAGGGCAGCACTGAGAAGCCTGGAGGGAGCAAAAAGAGCTGATGGTGATGAAGCCTTTTTTTCTCCCTCCTTTTGGCAGGTGCTTCCCTGTCTCTGGGGACCCCTGCCATTCCTCTCCCTCATTTACAGCCGCACTTGCTGGCTCTTTCCAGCCAGCAGGGCCAGGCGGTCGCGGGTACAGCTGGACAGCTACATCAGGCACAGCACACGGTCTTCCACTTCCCTGCCAGAGCTGGAGGGCAGATCGTGTCGCTGACAGGTCAGCACTTGCTTCTGCTGCGTTCATTTTAGGCTGGGGGGTGAACAGAGGCTCCTGCAGCGTCCCTGTCCTTGCTCAGGGAGCTGACCCCAGCTGGGAGCTGGGGGGAGTTGTGGAAGGAGGGAGACTGTGGTGCTAAGATACCCTATGGATGTGGTTTTGAGTGCTAGTGTTTGACTCTAAGCAACTGTCATGCTTAGATCTGTAGTTGGCTGCTGAGCCACGGTGCAGAAGATTGGTGATGAAAGAGGCAGAGGTGTTGCTGTGTGGGCATTGTCCTTGGCAGGAATCTCTTATTGTACCAACTGGAGGGCTCTCTGAGTGCTGTGCTAGGGCTGGGGTACCGTCTCCTTGGTACCGGCACTGAGGGCGAGACGGTATTCTTGTGTTGTGCTTGCTTGTTTCCATGCTGCTAAGTCTGATGGCCTCTTACAGCTCCTGCGGGCCCACACAAGGGGACCATATTTCCCTTCTGGTCTGGAGGAGCTAAGAGAATAATCAGTGATTCTGTGTTTCTGGTGCATTGCGTAGGGAGATACCCAACCTGTGACTTCTGGTGCAGTGTGTGGGGAGATGCCCGACCTGGGGTTTCTGTCTGGCATCACTTGCTGTTCCCTCTGGAGGCAAAACATGAGCCTGAGGGGGAGCTTCGTGTCCTGCTCAGTGTCTGCATAGCCATGCTGAGAGCCGTGTGGTGAGCAGGCTGGCCCAGAGGCTGTGTGGCTGTGCCCGTGCAGCTCTGGGCTGCATGCTGGGGCAGCTGTGCTCTTGTTCCTGTGCAAGGCACTGCAGTGTCTTTGGGGTGGCTGTTCCTGAGTGCCCTGTGGAGAATGATGCTAGGCTCTGGAGGGTGAAGACCCTGCTGGAAGGTGGGCTCTTGCTGTTCTGGTTAACGCTGTGAGCCTGGCTTTGTGGGGCTGCTTGAGCAATGGGCTGTGCTGGGGACCTCTCCTCCCAGCATCTTCTGTGCTGTGTCCTTGTGGAGCCAGGAATGGTAATGAGGGCCACTGACATCCCTGAACTATACCTAGATGTTGGACAGAAGCTGCTGTGGCATTTCCTTTTCCCTCCAGTGCCCTGCAGGCCACCTGACCCCTCCTTGGCCCTTGTGTGCCAGCAGTGTGACAGGCCATGTGTGGAGCTGTGCATGGCCAGAGAGGGATGAGGACTGACAGGCTGAAGGCTCCCTTCTCTCCCCAGGTGGCACCATGGCTCAGCAAGTCCCTGTCCAGGCGATCCAGGTGCACCAGGCACCGCAGCAAACGTCTCCCTCCAGTGACAGCAGCACTGACCTTACTCAGACCTCTCCCAGTGGAACAGGTAATAGGGACTTTATGATAACTGTGTTCTGTCTTCCTTCCTAACCACTGTTGATACTGACTCACCCCTTATCCTGGTCCAGCATCATTCAGTCCAGCTTTCCCAACCAAGCTGACAGTTCCCCAGATTTATTTATCCCTATTACCAGCTCCCATGCTGTGCTGCTTCTAGATAGGTGCTGCTGTGCAGAGTACCTCAGCAGATTTCGGAGCCTCTCTTGGTGCGTTACTTGCTTTTCATAGAATCATTAAGGATGGAGGAGACCCTTAAGGTCTCCAAGTCCAACCATCAAGCCATCCCCACCATGCCTACCAACCAAGTCCCTCAGTGCCACAACCCCACAGCTCTGGGACACCTCCAGGGATGGTGAGCCCATCACTCCTTGGGCAGCTGTGGCACTGTCTCAGTGCTCTTTCAGAGAAGAAACGTTTACTAAGAAACAACCTGAACCTATCCTGGTGCAACTTCAGGTCATCACCTCTCATTCTTATCCTGCAACATGGAGCTGGGAGCATGTTGCCAGGCTCTCCCTAGTTCTCAGATGGTTTCTTATTGATCCAGCATTGCCCCTTGTACAAGGCATTAATTTGCATGTTCTTGAGACTTTGTATGTACAGAGGCACCTTTTTTTGCTACCAAAAAAAAAAATAAGTGCCTGGATGCAGATTGAACCCAGTTCAACAGCTTAATCAGCTTCATCAGGAAACCTGTGACATGGTTTGAGTTTAGTCTTGGGATACTTGGCTATAAGGCTGCCTTGCCCTCAGTTCTCACTGATCAAAACTCTCTTGCTTGTTCCCTGGCTTTCTTGGGAGAACAATGTGGGTACCTCCACATGTCTGCTGCTTGCGTGTGTGGGGGCTGAGGGAGTGTGGCTGAGCAGGTGTGCAAGTGTGGCAGGCTCCTGCAGTGTGGCTCACGTGTCGTTTGTCCTGCTGCCAGTGACCCTCCCAGCGACCATCATGACGTCGTCTGTGCCAACCACCGTGGGTGGCCACATGATGTACCCCAGCCCGCACGCGGTGATGTACGCGCCCACCTCTGGCCTTGCGGATGGTGGACTTGCAGTCCTCAATGCTTTCTCGCAGGCACCCTCAGCAATGCAGGTGTCCCACAGCCAGGTCCAGGATCAGGGTAAGTCTGGGTTGGTGCTTTTCTGGGGGGCTCTCATTTTTGCATGTGCTTTTTTGCTACATATTGATCCCTCAGGGTTTTCTTTTAAGCCTTCGTATCTGTCGAAAAGACCCAGCAAGGGTCTGTGCTTTTTAGAACCAGCTCCTCTCCTGTATAAAGGATTCCTTGAGCCATTTGCTGGGGGAGAGGATTAAAGTTGCTGGTGTGGGGAGCCTGGAAATGGGGCAGGCAGTGCCAGGTGGGAGGAGCCAGGAAGACTGGAGAAGAAGCGTAGGTGCATGAGGGGCCAAAACAGTATGAAGGCACGCATGCAGGATGTGGATTGAAGGCTTATGCTGGGCTCCCAGCGTCTGGAAAACGATGTCATTTGTGTCATTCCCTCTGTGGCAGGTGGCGTCCCCCAGGTATTCTTGACAGCCCCATCAGGCACCGTTCAGATCCCAGTCTCAGCTGTCCAGCTTCACCAGGTAGGTGCAGAGCAGTGCCTGCAGATGTGGTGGGGGCTGTCACTGTTTTTCCTCTGGGGCGGTGCTGGTCCTGCTCTGCCTGGACATCCTTTATGGGCCTGGGCACTTGAGTAGGACCAGTCCTCAGGTCTCGGAGAGCTGGGGGAGCTATTTGTGCCACCTACACGTGGGCAAGGAGTTCTTGTCCTCTTGGGTGAGGGATGCTGGCTTGCTGGTGGAAGCAGTCTTAGGGGCATGCTGTCCCTCAGCTCCTCCCTTCTCTCTCTAGATGGCTGTCATTGGGCAGCAGAGCAGCAGCGGCAGCAGCCTGACGGAGCTGCAGGTGGTCAACTTGGACACCTCGCACAACGCCAAGAGTGACTGAGAGGCCTCTGCTGCTGGCCTTGTGCCGTCCCTGGCTTGTCGTGCTGGGGCTGGCAGCAACTCTCGTACAGACTGCACCAGTTATTTATTGTTGCCTTTTCACGTTTCCTTCATCCACACATGCACACACACACACGCACCCACCCACACACACAGCATGCAAGGGGCTGCAGGACCCGCCTGGGGAGAAGCTGCGCTGAGGCCGTGCAGGGCTGGGGGCCGTTGGGATGCTCGTCTCTCGCCAGCCAAAGAAGCTTGTCTCTTGAGGGGAGGGTGTGCTCCGTGCTGTACATAAATCCTGGGGGCCTTCCCCAGCTGGAGGCCCTTAGGGGTGCTCACCCTGTCTGTGGGTGTTTGTGTGGGGCTGGGGCCTGGAGCTGTCCTGCAGAGCTGCACAGGCCTCAGCAATGTGCCTTTGTGGGGGGGGATGGGTCCCGGCTGCGGCAGCTCTCCCTGGCCTCCGCAGGGAGCAAGCGGCCTACTTGGACGTGCATCTCTGGTTGGGTCTGGTGTATGGCCCCAGCCTCCTCACGTGCACTACAGCAAGGCCTCCGCCCTCAGTGCCTCCTTGCTGGGCTGCCTGGTGGGTTGGCAGCTGCAGCACACAGCGGGTGCCCAGCAGTTCAGCAAGGCCCTAAGGGAGAGGGGGGGCTTTGCTGCCAGCTCAGTCCCGTGCTCCCATCTCGGCCCTCGTGCTGCTTGTGGACTCCATATGCCCAAGGGGGGACGTGACTGGATCTTTTCCGCATCCCTCTGCTGCAGCTCCAGCCACCGCTTTCTAAATTTTCTGATGCAAGGTGGAGAAGCAACTCCAGTGCCAAAGGGAAGAGTCCGTGGGGCACTGAGCTGCTGGTGGGCAGCATGCTCCTCCTGGGAGCACCGGGGCTGGAGGAGCCTCAGCAGGGCCACGGGAGAAGGACTGGAGTGTGCTTGGTCCTGCATGGGAGCTGCTCCCTGGCCCTGCAGGGAGAGCGAGCGAGCAAGGAGCTGCTGCATCCTTAGGGAGAGGAGCAGCTACTGTAACTTCTTTTTTTAAGTTAAAGACAAAAGAAGCCTTGGGGGGGAAAAAAGAGAAAAAAAAAAAAAAACAAAAAAAAAAAAAAAAGAAAATGACTTTATTTTTCTAAGTGTTAAACTCAGTATTTATGTAATACTTTAAGGAATAAAAGTTTGGCTCCTGTACAGTTTTCATGGGGTTTGTACCGGGGGGATGGGAGAGGGGTGGGTGGGTGTGGAGGCAGGAAGGGGCCTTGCTTTTGAGTTTGTATTGTAACCTTGGACATGTTCCCTCCGCATTAGCGTTTAACTGTGCTGTGCTGGGCTGTCCCCAGCCCTCCCTGGGGGATGAGGGGCTGGCAGCAGCCGATCTCCGCTCTCCCTGCCCGTAGTGCAGGTGGCACCTCCTGAACTCCCATCTGAGGGTCTGGGCTGGAGTTTCCCTCTCCACAGCCTCAGCTTGTGCTGTTTTTTAGTGCACAGATGTGGATGAGTTCCTTCCATGACCTGTGCAGAGAGCGTGGGGTGTGCATTAACCTTGACCCAAGGCTGTCATCAGGGCCGTGCTTTGCTCTGCTTTGCTCGTGCTGGCCCTGCGGGGCTGTGATGGCAGTGCTGCTGCTGGGCATCTCCTCCCTGCCTCCCCAAAGGCAACTGCTGGTTAAACGCTAATGGTGTCTTTTATTTAAGTGCAGACTTGTAAGAACACTCGTGTATCAGGGACGAAATGGCATTTATTGTGTGGTGACATTTTTAATTCATTTTACTGGTTTGAGGGTTGTGTGTGTGTGCGTGCGTGCATGTGTGCGGGTGTGTGTGTGTGCATAGGTGTGTGTGGGATTTTTTTTTTCCCCTCCAGTTTCCAGGGTTGTGTTTCTGGAAGGATGTGGAAGTAATCACAGTACTATGTACAGAGCTTTCTTTTGTATGGAAAAAAAAAAAAAATTACTCTTTCAATAAATGTTATCATTTTGTGCACAGAGCTGGCGTCTTGTCTGTGCTTTGCAGGTGGAGAAACTTTCGTCAATGGATAGGGATGAGATGGGGCAGAAATCAAAGGAAGAAGGGCATGTGGTGACCATCAGTGGTGCAGGGACAGCAGTGTCCTTGCTCTTAGTGCAACAGCTGTGTTTCCATGGCAGAGCATTAGCAGCACCTCATGCGTGTGCCAATAAGCACAATGATGTTGCAGGTGCAGCACGTGCATGGAATGTCAGCTGCTGAGAACAGAAATAGGGGTGGTTGTGCATGTGCTGCCAGTCTTCATGGTGTTTTGTGGCAGTTAGGAACAATGTTTTCCCTTGATCAGTGCAAATATTCTGTACTTATCTCTACGGGAGATGAAGGGACTCATAAAGGCAAATTGCCTCTTCAGTTTCATGAGTACCAGGGGTAGGAATGAGATTGGGCACATCCACATAGTTGCTTCAGGATCAAATAAGAAAGCAAATTCTCAGCAGTTTAGCCTTTAATTTAATGTCAGGTAGGGCAGGGAGGTGATTGTTCTCCTCTGCTTTGCCCTCATGAAGCCCCACTTGGAGCACTGTGTCCAGGCCTGAACTCCCTGGCACAAGAAGGATGTGGAGCTGTTGGAGTGGGTCCAGAGCATGGCACAAAGATGCTCAGAGGGCTGAAGCACCTCTCCTATGTAGAAAGGCTGAGGGAGGTGGGCTTGTTCAGCCTGGAGAAGACAAGGCTGTGGGGAGACCTCATTGCAGCCTTCCTGTACTTGAGATCTTATAAATAGGAGGGAGAGCACCTTCTCATATGGTCTGATAGTGATAGGACAACGGAAAATAGCTTTAAAGAGGGGAGATTGAGGTTAGGTGTTAGGAGGTAATTGTTTACTCAGAGGCAGTGAGATGATGGAACAAATTTCCTGGAGAGCTGTGGTGCCCCATCCCTGGAGGTGCCCAAGGCCATATTGGATGGGCCCTGGGCAGCCTGAGCTGGTGAGTGAGAGAAGTGCCCAAAAGTTGTCTTCAAGGAGAACTGGGGGAATTACAGGCCAAGAAGATTGATATTGACCACAAGGCGGTGGAGCAACTTGCACTGGAAACTATATGGTGGACAAGAAGTTGACTGGGAGCTGTCAGCATGGATTCAAAAAGAGGAAGTAATGACCAACTTGAAACACTTCTGTGGTAAAGTGATTAGCTTGGTAGGTGAGGACAGAGCAGTATATTGACCACCTGGACTTCAGTAAGGCTTTTGACCCTGTCTCCCACGAGATCCTTTTAGAGAAGCTGTTGATATATGGGCTGGATAGGCGGACAGCGAAGCGAACTGAAAGCCCAGAGGGCAGTGATCAGTGGCAAAAATCTAATTGGAGGCCAGCAACGGTGAACCCAGGGGATGAGACCAGTTCTGGTCAGTACCTTCACTAACGGTGTGGGCGATGGGGCAGTGTGCCAACACTGGCAGGAGTGGCGTTGCGCTGCTAAACAGGGTAACTCGAGTACTCTGTAGAAATGAAGTTCAGCAAGTGCAAACTCCTGCCTCTGGGAAGGAGCAACGTGCCAGCACACACTGCGGTCTGGCTGAGAAAGACCGGGGGGTCCCGGTGGGATCCAAGCTGACCGGGAGCCAGCACCATGCTCCGGCTGCGACGAAGGCTAACGCTCCGCCGGCCTTTCCAGGCACAGCATTGGCAGCAGGGGGAGAAAGGGGAGCCCGCCCCTCCCTCGTCGGGCCTCTCCTGCACGGACTCTACGCCGCCACCCCGAGCGCCGCTCCCGCACAGGCCCGCCAGGCGCAGGCTCGGGCGCGGCTGCAGGCGGTGCCGTCCCCGCCCCGCCCGGCGGCAGCGCGCAGGCGCCTCGCGTGGCCGGACGCGGAAACGGGCGCGGTGGCGGCTGTGGGCCGGCCCCGTGCTGTCGGCCGGACGCGGGGCCGGGCCCCGAGCTAGAGCGGCGGGCGGAGGCGAGCGGGGAGGCCCGGAGGCGGAGCTAGGCCGCGGGGTGAGCGGAGCGGCCTGGAGGCGTCGCGGCTGCTCCGTGGAGGGCAGGGGCGAGCGAGGGAAGCGTGTGCGGCGCGGTGCCGTGAACCTGCGGGCAGGGAGTGCCTGCGTGCGCCGTGCGGGAGAAGAGCCGTTCGGCTCGTGGGGAGGCTGCCGTGCTGCACGCGGGAGGGCAACTCGGCCCTTTGTTACCGGGAGACCGCAAGGACAGCAGCTGGGCGCCGCTGGATTGCTGTGACCTGCCGGGAAAGCACAACTGAAGGTATAGGCATATATATATTTAATGTATTTATTTTCAAGGATGACGTGTGTGACCGTCAGCTGTACAGGGTGCTGCTTCACCGCTCTCATGCCTGGACATGTCAGTGACCCAAGAGAGCCCATCTCTGCATTCCCAACACAAGCTGCCTGGGCTCTGTGAGAACCCTCTGTTCTTATCAGGCCGATCCAGCTTCCTCTGCGGTGATGAAGTCGGTCCTTTACTTGGCTAACTGACTGCTGGCACTCGGTCTTAAATAGAAAATTGCTTCATGCTCTTCTTTGCCTGGATGATAGTGAGGTGTTGTGACTTACATAGCTCAGAGATGTGTAGAACAATCAGGCAGCATGGCTGGTGGATCTGCCTAGCAACTGAATGTTTTAAAGGCAAATTTATACCCGAGAAGAGGAAATAGTGACCAGGGAGGAGTGGCTTTTAGATAGTGATGAGCATGAGCTGAGAAACAGCTGGTTATTTTCCTCAAGGACTGGTGACTCCTGTTGGTTCCAATGCCACAGTGGGAGGCAGCGTCTGCCTGAAGCCTTGAGTCTGCATGACCTTGCATTCTGCGCTCAGACACAGACACAGAATAACAAGTGCAAAAGCAGAAGTGCAGAAGCAGCGACTTCTGCAGGGTCAGGTTGTGGTCAGGGGTGAAAACAGGGCCCAGCTCTCCAGTTTTTATTTTCAGCCATGGAATCGTAAAATGGCTTGGGTTGGAAGGGATCTTAAAGATCATCTAGTTCCAACGACCTGTCACGGGCAGGGCTGCCACCCCCTAGATCAGACATTAGATCATGTTCTGTCTTACGAGAGGGCCTGAACAAGAATGTTTTCCCTTGGGGATTTTGTGAGGAGAGCTGCTTTCTGCGTGTACCAGTAATTCTGGGGACAGGGCTAGTACAAGAAACAGGCTCATCGTCTTGAAGTGAGATCGTGAACTTCTGCAAGATGGGGTTTCTTTCAGAGCTTTATTCTTGTTTCAGAATCTCAAAATTTAAAACTTGCACCTTGGCGGCTTCGACTGGTGAGGAACCGAGGTGCCGGCTCACGGCTTCCCTACACGTAGCTCAGAGATGCTAACCTGCTCCCTTCTGTTCCCGCAGCGCCGTCCGGCAGCATGGTGAACGAGAGGCGCGAGGGCGGGCTGCTGGTGCAGCTGGGCCCCCAGCTGCAGGCCTACCCGCAGGAGCTGCTGCGGCAGCGGCGCGGCCCCGACGGCGCCCCGGAGTACCTGGTGCGGTGGCGCGTGGTCGGCGCGGAGGAGCGGGCGGCGGGCGGCGGCGGCGGCGGCGGCTCCTCCGCGGGGCTCCGCTCGGAGAGCGTGGCCATGTGGCTGTCGGCGGAGGAGGTCCGCGCCGGCTGCCCGGCGCTGCTGGGCGAGGGGCAGCGGGCGGGGCCGCGGGCGGAGGAGGAGAGGGCGCCCGGCCCGCCGCCCGCGGCGCCGGACGAGGCGTCGCTGCTGGAGATGAAGGCCGACGTCGGGAGCCTGGTGCGGCGAGCCGGCCGGCAGCTGGCCGGCGGCGGGGCCCCCGCGTCCTCCGTCCTCCACACCGTCCGCGTGCTGAGCGCGTACGCCGGCATCGGCGCGCTGGCGGGCGCCTTCGAGGAGACGGGAGCCCTCGAGCTGCTGACGGAGATGCTGTGCCACGAGGAGAAGGCGATCTGCCGCGGCGCCGGCGAGATGCTGAGGGCTCTGGCTTCGCACGATGCAGGTGGGGGCTGCCGCCGAGGGCGCCCCTCTTTCGGTAGGGCAGGGGCTCGGGGAGCGGGGCCTTGCGGGGCTGTTGGCTCTGCCATCGTCGGCGTGGAGCCTCTCTGGGGCCCCGCTGAGCGGAGGCTGATCCTGCCCGAGGCTCTCGTCAGAGAGGAGCTGCTGTGGTTCGGAGGTGCCCGATGTGTTGGGCACAGCTGATGGGGTTGCTGTGGGCCAGCAGAAGTGGCGTGTCCATCTGGCATGTGGTGTCCCACAAGAGTTGTCTGGCTTGTCCTGTCCTGGTGCTGAGTTCACACTGTGGGAACCCTGGGGGGGCAGATTGGGTTTAAAATGTGACCCTTATTGTTTCCTGGACATCTGCTTTGGAGTCAGTAGTTTGGGATTGCTGGTTTGGGGGAATCCAAACAGCCCTTGGGATGCAGAAATGTGTTATTTGGCAAAGCAAAATGTCATCAGTTTAATTCAAAGGATAGACTGCATATCATAAAACCATAGAATCAAAAAGTGGAAAAGGCTACTAAATGATCATCCAGTCCAGTTGCCAGCCCATCCCCACTATGCCCGCTGACCATGTCCCTCAGTAACACATCTTCCTGTTTCTTGAACACCTCCAGGGATGGTGACCCCACCACCCTCCTGGACAGCCTATGCCACTGCTCTTTCAGAGAATAAATGTTTCCTAGCAGCCAACCCGAACCTCCCCTGGCACAATGTGAGGCCATCCTCCCTTGTCCTATGGCCGTTCCCTGGGGGCAGAGGCCGACCCCGCCTCACACAGCCTCCTTTTGGGTTGCTGCAGGGAGCCATAAGGTCTCCCTTGAGCCTCCTCTTCTCCAGACTGAACAGCCCCGGTTCCTCAGTCGCTCCCTGTCACATTTGTGCCCCAGACCCCTCACAGCTCTGCTGCCCTTCTCTGGACACGCTGCAGCCCTCGGTGTCTTTCCTGCAGTGAGGGCCCAGCACTGAGCGCATCACTCGAGGTGCGGCCTCACCAGTGTCAGTGCGGAGGGACGCTCACCTCCTGCTCCTGCTGGCCACACTCCTGCT